CTGGCATCAGACTATAGAGTGCTCGGTTTTGATAACGTAGCGTCGCTGTGCCCAGTGTGTGCGCGCGTCAGCGCTCCATATATTGAGTTTCTGATGATGCAATCGGGGCCGTTTTGCTAGCTCCACATATACCGAATTTGGTGTAACATGACATCAATGGATGAAGAAATATATGACTGGTGCAAACATGATAAACGTGACACGCTTGTCATGTAAGAACATGACAACATACCACGTTCATGGCGTGCTCGTGGCCGTTTCACTAGCTCCACGTTTCACTAGCTCACGTCATGTGATACCACATTTGGTATCACATGACGTGAATAGATGACGAAGGTAAACGACACATCGAAACATGATAATCGTGACATGAAAGTCATGTACCGTATCATTTACCACCACCTCGTAACGTTGTGCTGATTTTAAAGTGACATATCAGTATTTCTCATTCGTGCTTCGCATATCATCGATTCCCACTGTACGTGGAATACGTCAATTTTTTTATATGACGATTGAATGACCAGCCGCTCTCCATGCAGATGCTGGTGGGACCCCATCCTCATCGCTCGTTGGTTAACAAACCAGTCAAAGTGTTATTGTGTTTTTTAAAGGACCGTGGACCTTTGTGAACTTTCGTGGCTGTTGTGTAGTGCTAACGCTACATAGGCGGCAGAATGTTTGATGATTATTTAGTTTCTGTTTCTTCCTTTATTTTTTACTTACGCTCGTTTCTCTCTGTGTATTTGTTCTATTCTCATTTTCCTTTTCAGCCAGCGTGTAGGGTAGTCAACCAGACTGCTGTCGGTATAAGCTCCTTGACTTCTCCCTTTTGTATTTATTCTTTCGTTAGCGCATATCTTTTATTGAACATATATCAGACCTTGTTAGGTAGCTCGTTGTTACCATCGAAGATACGTGCACATGATGTCCAGTGGGTCGGCGATATCAGTTTATGTGACGTGATTTCTTCACACGCGTGAACTCTAGCGCGATCGACAAGAGGTCCGCATAAACACCGAATATTTTTTTTGTGTGGGGAAATTGATATAATAGCGAACCCCTGCAGATCCCCAGACAAGGCTTTCATAAGCGATAATATTCAGCAAATGGGAAAAATCTGTTTTGAAGCTTGTCTATTTAGACCTAAACTATAAATTGAGGATTTAAATCAAGGTCTGTATGTATTCCCTCAGATAACCAGGTCGAAATTTTAAGATGTCAAATACTGCTAGTGCAATGATAGCTATGGTAGTATAGGGGACTGTTATAAAGTTTCCACCAAAGTAATACAACTAAGGAAGCAGGCAAACACAATGAGGCTATAAGCCAGCGTCTTTAATAATGACCTGCTTTCTATCGTAATGTTGTTCTTTCGCTCGAAGCGCTCTTACCATTTCTTAAGTGGTAACCACTGGCCTAGCTTACTTTCCAAAGTAGTAGTGAGCTTCATTAGGGCAGAAAACAGCTTACGTTTGATGCGAAGATACGACCGAGGCTGTTCTGTACGCTTTACTTATTGGGGGTATCACGGGTCTAACTTACTGATATTTATAGCTACCAAAGATCTATTGAAATAACAATCCTCGTAACGAATAACCAAATGCAAATGAAGGTGGCCTGTGATCTCTGCAGCGCTCTGCCGGACGATGGAACTAGTATATACATTCTTTACGTCATCCACGAATGCCATCGGTGACATAGCACCCACAAGGTCACAAACCTAAGAGCAAGAGGGTTGTGCATTTCGGCATAGCTTCTGAATCTGGATAGGCCTAACATTCTGATGGAGCCCAGCTGCAGCTCTGACGTCGGCTATTACAAAAGTTTTCGTTGTAACAGCCAGGCCTGCTTGTCGCAAGCGACAACCTTAGCCTCTGTCAGCGTACTTCTAAAGTAATCACGGCTTCTTGCAGAGCCCTAACTGATGGCAGAGCCCAAAGCCTGGCCGTATGCATGTTCCAAAACTCGCGCTCGTGTTTCGACAATACTTTTCTCGGCTCATCTCTTTCCCAACTCATCCACTTGGGGCTGTGTCCATAGGAATTATTTTTCATCATACGTTGACCACCTTTGGTTTTACCCGCGCCACCTGGACGGCAGACATGCAGTTAACTGACGCACGATTAGTGAGCAAACATCAGTGAGGTCTGAGAATATTATGGCAACAATGCCCATAAAAGTCTGTGGCAGCATTTAACATTAATTCAGCTGGCCAGAGGCGGAAAGAGGCGCGTTTGTGGGAAACATCATGTTTTGTTTTCACACTCCTAGTCCATAAGGGCGTATTTCATATGGACGGTCCATATCATTACATGTGCTGCTATCAGAGAGCATAAATACCGCTCAGATGGTGCAGCGCGGAACAGGACAAGAGGCACCTTTCGTTTCTCCCGTCTTTCGTGTAAACGTCGGCATGAACTAAGCAAGCTTCGATTGAAAGTACGAGCTGGTTTTCACCATTGCGTGCTTCTTGTCCTGCTTCACACTGCGCACACCTATAAAACTATTTAAATTCGCTTCATGTAATACTGAGTACTTTTATCAATCATTTCTACCACGAACCTCTCGCGATTGGAATGGCCTTCCCGCTGACATTGTAAACATTAATAACTGTAAACATTTTCGCAATTCTGTAGCTAATATTGTATACTCAGGCTCTTTCTAACTTATAGTGCGTCTCTATTGTACTTGCATATTTTGTTCCTTTTATTTTGTTACCTTTTTGTGCTTTTACCACTCCCCCTCTGTAATGCCTCTGGCCCTGAGGGGTATAATAAAATGAAATGAAATGAAATGAAAATGCAACATGCGCAAGGCACCCATCTAGTTTATTTAAAGACATATCACAAACGTCGACCTAGTAAAATAAACAGGAGACGAAAAGACGCCAGGCCTGCGTGGAAGGCGCAGCACAGTCACAGCGAAAGATAGAAGAGCGGCCTTTCAGAGCCCATCAAAACACTAATTGGGTAAATACTGGAAACACACTTGCTTTATAGGGCATCAATAATAAATGTATCTGAGTAGTAGGCTGGCATTCGCTATGATATTTTTTGTCATTCTTCTGAGAAGAGTCACATCCGCTAAAACATGCAAAGAATTTTGCGCCTTTTGTTCATGCAGTGGCTGCTGACAATGAGGAATTATGGCGGAAGTGGGTATGAGCGACAGTTAATAGGGGAACGAGAATAAGCTTTTGTAACGGGTCGGAACATTGGACGACCCACTCGTTACGCTATCCGCATTGTGCGGTCACTGGTTGTTGTTTCGGCGTTTTAAAACGCTTTATGAATTATAATACCGCGATTGCTTTCGTGACCACAAGCCAGCCTAAGGCATACCGGTCTGGCTCAGCGGCAGAATACTGGGCTGCCACTTAAAGTACCTGGGTTCAAGCCCCACTGTGTCATCGGTGCTAATTTTTTTTCTAATTTCACGTGATGTGGTAACAGACACCGGCGGCGGCAGCGGACAACTGCGCGTGACCCTAGCTATGATCTCATAACAGATTTTGCTCTAAAGCTAGACAACTTACGAATAACAAAATCAAACGATCCCTCGAACTTTGGGAATCAATGTTATGCGAAGCATGTGGAGGGAAGGTGAATGTGTTTGGATATTTTTATTAAGCGAAATGTTGCGAAATGACGCTAAGGATACTAACGAATGTTGTACGTACAGATATATGTTGAACAGTAACATGTGTTTTATTGAACGAGTTTTTTTACCGATGCCAACATTAACATGGATATTACACCCCTCAGAAGTGCTAAGCTGATATGTAGCTGTTTTGTTCTTGAGGACGGTTTAACCCTTGATAGCGCTACATGAATCAACTTCAGTGGTTGACCCTTAACTATGATTGACGTTAACCCGACGTGAACGCTGTATCTTAGGGGTACATGTGTAAAATTTAAAAAAATTAAATGAATACAACTGCAACCACAATTGACATTCGACGAGTATTAGGGTCAATTTCAGAAGCAGTTCCGAGACTTGGAGCAGCTCCGTGCTAGAGTGCTTGATTTCCTTGCAGATTGCTTGGGTTTGCTTCCTGCTGGGGCCGTCACAAATATTCTTTGCATTCGTCGGGTCAACGCTGCTGATTTCAGTTGTTTATTTAATGCTCTCGCGGTAATATTACTCATCTTTGTTCGTGCCGTTCTTGGGTGGCCCGGGGAGCAGGTATGTGTCACACATGTCTGGCGCATATCTTTCACAACTTGCACTCCTTTTTCTGTGAGTCCATTTGGTGTAGAAAGTACGGACTGAAAGTTATATACTTGAACTCACACGACGCCGCGAAGAAGGTAAGCTTTCTTGACGTAAACTGTGCCTCATTGTTGCTGAGAACTCCCAGTGGTACTTAGTGCCTAGCAAAAATGAACGACATTCTGCGTATCGCTTCTTGTGCTTTAATACCCTGTAGCCTTTCTGTTTCTGGAAGGTTGGGGTACACGCCGTGGAGCACCAGGTAGGGAACGCAGCGCATGGTTGCCGGACAACTATGTAATGTATGCTGCTGTAGGCAGTTGTCCCAGTCAAATGTCATTCCATGTGCAGCTGCGTTCTCAAGGATTCTGCTGGCACCTAACCTATAACTCAAATAAGAGGCCGCGGAGCAATACAGTTGTTCAACTTGTGATTCTCCATCCTACACACATCCGGCGCCGTTAATAGGTACACCCTTAAACTGAGTTATCGGTTAATGAGACAACAGTGTTGCAGTTTCTGGAAACGCCGTTTGCGCTTGGTGACTTGTCATTGCAAATTCTACTACTGCTAAAGGATTGTATTGTGAGATTTCATTGCAAAAAGCAATCCATATATATTTCTTATGGGAGTTGCTGAAGCTGAACGCTGCAGTCACTCTGTGAGCCTGTACTCTCTTCAAGAGCAAGTTCAGTGGTGCAAGTTTTTGTTTTTTGATGGCCTGAGCACTGTGTTTTGACGACAAACACTTTTCTGACTTCTTTCCTTTTGTTTTTTGTTTTCTGAAGGTTTGACCTGCTATGGGTGGACACAAACAGCCGGCAGGCACATCACTGTTCATCAATTTTCTCATTGCAATCACAGCCTGCACTGGACAGAAGCTTCAAGCTATAGGTAAGACACAGTAATTTATTCATTAACCCCTATTCTACTGTTATTTACAGTGTGGCTTTCACTTCATAGCTATTAGTTTTGTTGTGAATATACCCGACTTCTGTTCAAAGAGAGAGAGGAAGAGAGAAATTGAGAGGAAAGGCAGATGGGTTAAATAAGTATTGTCTCGGCTGGCTACCCTATACATTGAGGTTGGGGAGAAAGGGGAACAATATCTTATGTTTAATAGTGCGACATATATAAATAAAAGGAAGCCACTGCATGCGTTTTATTCACTTAAGCTAGTGACATTTTTATTGCCATCATTTCTATGGCATATTCCAGAACATGAGTGGTTGAAGTGGACTGATGCTTAGAAGTGCCAGCAACAGCGTTGTCCAAGTCGATAAACTTTTTCTGCGCCCTTATAGTGTCATATACATTTCTGTGCTTTTCCCCTCACCCATGTACAAGTTAGCAAACCAGTTAACCACGAGGGTAACCTCCCTGTCTCTTCTTCTATTTTTATATCTATTTCTGTGCTTCCAGCGCATAGATTGCCGCTTGTGCTGTGCTGCCCAGGCCTTCACGATAGACTTCTATAAAAACACTCATTGCTAGAATTCCGACCAACTCTGTCGCCCTTCAATAGGTCGCACTTCCCCTCTGCACCTTTTTTGTCGTTGTTGCTTTCTTGCCCCCTCTTACTTTTTCGTCTTTACCTTTTTGACTACCCTTATTGTAGTAAGGTATGAAACTGCACTCAACACGTTTAGCAAGATTTCCTGCCCTTCTATCGCTTTATTGTCTCTCTCTTTGTGTGCTGCAATACAATTTAGCTTAGTTTTGTGCTCAAAATGTTCTTCAATCATTATTCATTGTGTTAATTCAGTTCTGTCCAATGGCAGTGTCAGTGCTGACTTTATTTCAATTGAAGCAACTGCTGAGGCTCGCGTGTTTTTGTGTTGAATCGCACACTTGTTAGCGATTTTTATGTAATACAAAGGAGTGGATTGCGACATCTGATTTAACTGTTTTCAATTACTCATTTTGTCATTGTGTACTGTAATTTATATCCCCTGTACAGCTAAACAAAATGAGCAGACAAGACCTCCAATCTGAACGTTTCTTGCACACATACCTTTCAAAAATGAGGCAAGAGAAAAGCGGCCCAGTGTCGGCACTAGGAAGTGCTCTTAAAAAATACGCATAATCATTGTTTTCTCTCTACGCTTATAGGGCAGCCAAGTATATATCCTCCCTCTGGAGTGATATGCCTTGTATGTGTTTTTTTTTAAGCTTGAGGTGACATTGCGCAAACACGATTGGCACCTTCGCAGTTGCTAGCTTCCTGTTTAGATAGCTGGTCATATGTACAGGAACGATATTTTTTTCTTGAAAAGTTGACTAATAGAAGTAATAATGCCAAATAAATAAAAAACAATTTTCAGATGTATGCCTTTCACGGCCTATTTGCCGCATTAAGTCTCACCATGGTTTCAATTCCAATCAACATCACCGACAAGCAAATGTTTGAACTACTTCGAAATGTAAGGACAAGACACCTTATACCATTTTTGATAAGCATCGGCTGTTAGAGTCAGCAGACTGGCAGAGAGGTCCGTAAAGTTTCCGCAAAAGATGGTTCGGGGCAACTTGTACCTTAGTTGCTCAAACTTCACGTGTGCCGGCTAATGCAAATGAGGACACCGCCCTAATAGTGTGAAAGGCTGCCTGTGTGTCGTAAAATATTCTCACAAATGCCATGAAATCTGGGATTACAATTTGAACTCTTCTCGTAGTTTCATATAATTATACATAGCCCACCAGTCTAAAGTGGTTATGACTCATGCTTATAAACAGGTAATGAAGCTGCACAGATAATCTAGTGTTGCATTAAATTTTAGTAACACTTGATGAGGTAATTGTAGATGAACTTATTCTTGCTATGTATGACTTGTACACCTAATAAATGCTCCGTCTTTTATTCGCGTATTTTGCTTGAACTTGTATTTTCCTTCTTTTTTTTTTCAGAAAGCAATGGAGTGTTCTTTTCAGGTAAGTTTCGCAAAACAAAATATGCATTAACCGTAGCAGAGTAGTACTCCTTACAAAGAAGCTTGTTTCCTACTGTGAAGCACTGCAATGTTTCGGACGTATAGAGCGCATCAGTACAGATGCCTAGGCTTCTCATTTGATTTAGGCGGCGTGGAGGGAAGGTGCGGTGGGTACACAAAATGTATTATTGCGTTGCTGTGATTCAAATGTGGCAGTTTTTTTTATGTCAGATCCATTAGGGCGTCATAGTTTCGGTCTATAGAAAAAAAGTAGCCATGCTTTATTAAGGATATTCAGCCGGAAGAGGCAAGAAGTGAGTAGTTAGCGGGCGCCTGTCCCCCATGTGCTTCCCACTTCTTCACCTATTAGTACTCACTACTAATATTCACTGCAAGTAATGAGTGGCTTGTCTCGTAAGAACTATACAGTCTGCGCCGTTCACATTGATATTATAAGCGACAAAGATAATTTTGTATGTATTCAGGTCATACAATTATTATCGAGAAAAGCACTGTAATTAGCCACTCATATCAATCGCACCATGCTGCGTCTGAGCTCATGAACTTGTGTCAATAGGCACTAAATTCATAGCAATATTCAATATATTGTAGAGAAGGCAACATAATACATGGTGATGTGAAGGTATCTGGTTTTTCAATATCGTAAATGCTAATTTGCGAAAATTTGTTCTTATGTGACGTCATCTCATTCTGCGCAAGTCAAATAATTGCCACTGAGTAGGTTCATAACTATATTCATTATTTAAATATTTACGTAGGTAAGTAAGCACCAATAGGACATTCTTAGTCTGAGTGAGTTGGTATTCGTTGGTAGTTTCAGAAAACGCTTTTTTCTGTCCACCTCGGCGGAACAGGGGCTAGGGTGCTTCGCTGCTGCTGCTGCTGCTGCTGCTATTAATAATAATAATAATAATAATAATAATAATAATAATGATAATAATAATAATAATAATAATAATAATAATTATTATTATTATTATTATTATTATTATTATTATTATTATTATTATTATTATTATTATTATTATTATTATTATTATTATTATTATTATTATTATTATTATTATTATTATTATTATTATTATTAATAGCAGCAGCAGTTTTCTAATAATAATTATTATTATTATTAGAAAACACTTTCATACACAAAGCTTGTTGAGAGCAAAAGAACTCACAGCTCCCGTATTGTTTATCAGTGTTTCTTTGCACGCGTTTGTTTTTTGTCCGACGAAAGTTCTTCTCAGACACGATACAGTGACAGTGCTTCATGCTGGTCAATACAAACAACAACTGTCTTTCCTGTTTTCAGGACTTCCGAGGCCACCCTCTGAAACGA